GGAGAAGCAGACCCCCCGCCGAGCAGGGAGCCCGATGCGGGACTCGATCCCGGGACTCCAGGATCATGACCTGAGCCGAAGGCAGTCGCCTAACCGACTGAGCCACCCAGGCGCCCCAGGAGTATTTTTTTTAAAACACAGATTCACACTCAGACTTATTAAATTTGAATTTCTCGTGATGGGGACCCAGGAATCTGTATTTTTAATCATTGATCCACCATAAGTCCGGCAAGCATCCTGATCTGGACACCAACCACTGTCTAGAAGTGTAAAGGGTCTAAATTTTGCTCTATTGCAAGCTTCCAAGTTAGCCTGACACAATTTCATGGATGCTGGCAGAATATACAAAGGCTCTGAGCCAGAGACAAAAAACTTTATTACTCACAGCAAGAGTAGTAACCAGAGTCTATCATTTGCACTGGTTCCCCAGGCCAACCCCCAGATTTAAAGAGGGCCAGATGATACCAGCAAATGAAGGGGATGTGTTAACAGCAGAGGAATCCTGAGCTGGAGGAGTTTGATTCTTTTATAATAGACAGTAAACACATCTGCTCTTTTCTTGGGATGGAGATATCATCTCTGTCCTCTGAGGTTATTTGATATGCAAACATCCTTAAAAAAATAGTCTGAATAGAGGTGGTCAATGCCTCTGCCTAAGATGGGCAGAAACACAAGACACCCATAGAGAGTTGTCTTCCCAAAGCAACTTAGTCCAACGCTCTCATTTTGAGGATGAGGTCAACGAGCCCCGGAGAGCTAAGTTGCTTGGTGATATATTCCATGGGTGGCTCCACTGGGCTCATCTAAGAACGCTGTTCTTTCTATGCTTGTCCTATTCATGCTTTCCTAGTCACCCCTCTTCCTCCCTGGAATTGATTTCTTAGAGTTAGTAGGTTGTCAGAGATGAAATTATTGGATAGAAAGATTTGCCACATGAATGTAGAGTGACAAGTGCAAATGTTGAGGGCAGACCAAGAGAGAATTTGAAATGGAGGCAATAAGAAATCCATCACCAGCCAAGCTGCCTTCCTCCACCCGAGTTGGCTTGCAATGATAATGCCATAACAAGACACAAGGTTTTACGTAAACTAAATTGGTAACGTGGTCTTTGACTTTGGAAGTGAAAGGAGAGTATCTGAATTTCCTTGAGGTTTCTGTTCCTGACATCCAACTACCTAAAGGGTAAATTACCATGTATTAATGAAAGAGAGCACTAATTAAAAGTTTTGTAGTCAATTTGTTATATTTTTTATATATTTTAATAGAAATAGTAAAAAAATAATGCAAATCTATACAAGCCACCTAAAATCCTTTCTTGAATAAAGTCAGTAATACATTTAACAAATGATTGAACAATTAGTCCTACAAATCAAGCACTGAGTAATATCTATAGCGAGGAAAAATGATAGGAAAAATGATGGAATTCTGAGTATAATATCTGCTTTCAAGAGGATAAAAATTTGTTAGCTGTGACACTTCAATGACAACTACAGAGATCAGAATAGGGAAATATTAAAATAGTTTTCACGCCTTGCAAAGGATACATAGAATTTAGAAATCCCGAATGGATTACCATTTATTTCTGGGCACTAATTAAGGAAAATCTTATAGAAAGCATGTAAATGATAACTGTGGACACCGTTTAATACATTTTGATAATTACTTTGCCTTGTTTCAGATACACTGCCCTGACTTAGCGCATTAGTCAGTTACTAGATTGAAGAACTTTGCCATTTATGAATGATGTACCTTGAAATTGTTACGAGTCCTCAAATACGTAAACACCACCATAGCACAAAAAACTTCTTTAAATTAGAGGGACTTTTTTTCAAAGGTCCAACATATTTATTACTCCCCTAGAGTCAACGCATATTTAACTGTGAAATGAAAACCACAAGCTCGCCTTCAGATGAATGTCCAATCTAGCGCGTCCCTTCCAAGTCACGGCATGGTCTCAAGCAATTCAAAACCGTTTCATACAAAACAACAAATCCCCGCATCTCATAGAACTTTGAGGTCACTCATAACCCATCAAACCATGACTTTTAAATCTGTGAATGCCAGAGGGTCTGCTGTATAAGAAAAGAACATAAGCAAAAACGTCTGCGTGTACCTCGGGATGACTAATGTAACCCTTTGTCCCCTCAAGGACAAGGACAGTCCTGCGGAAGAAGAAATTGAACCTGCCCCGGTTAGGAGGATTTTGAAATTCAATGCTCCCGAGTGGCCCTACATGCTGGTAGGGGCGGTGGGTGCTGCTGTCAATGGGTCGGTCACACCGCTCTATGCCTTTTTATTCAGCCAGATTCTTGGGGTAAGCAAACGCTGGATTAGCTTGATTCTTCTGATATTTTTTGTTTTTCGATCAGTGGATATTGTCATTTTTTGGTAGGTTGGCTCTGTATTTTGATGGATTTAGCTGTCTTTTCCTCATCTCTAAAGTATTCCAAGTGCCCCGAGTCTCCATGACACAGCAGGTAAGAAGAGGGAGCTGAGCGCTCTCATTTGGGCTGGCAGGACGCTCCTAGTCATCGTGTCTGTAAAAAACTGCAAGATGGCTGCAAATGTAGTGTCAGGAGAGGGCAATTTCCCTATATGCGAACAAAATTGGAATGCAAAGCAGGTTCATTGAATAATACAGAAGGATTTTAAGGCCGTTTGATCTTGCTGAAACAGCTGAGGTGCAAAGTTGGCCTATAAAAGCAGGTGTGAGTGCATGTTGCAGAATTGTCTGCTCTGCTGATTGCACCATTGAAATGGCAAGGTGGGGGAGGAAACAGGAAAAGGAAGAGAGAAGTAAAACAAGGCATGGATAAAGAATAAGCTTACTTCAATTTTTCACTCCCTAGGAGTTTTGATAGTCTCCATCTGACTTCATTGCTACAATAAAAATAATAATAACTACAAGCATTAATTGACACTCTTTAAGCACTTTATATATAATAGTTCACTAAATTTTCCTAGTAACCACCCGAGGTAGGTATTCTTATTGTCCCCGTTTTTACAATAAAGAGCGAACCAAGGTATACAAACTTAAGATAGCAAATAATGGATCTGAGATTCAAATCCAGTGTGACTGGAGAGCCAGGTTCTAATAAAACTCTCATTGCAAAATTAGTTATCGAAATGCTGCCAAGTTTTTTAGTTGAAATTTACCCACATACACAGATCCCATGAGATCAACAAGGGCAAACTGAGAATCTAGATAACTTTATTAATTTGTTCATGGTGGCATTAGGTGGCAGGGCCAGGGCTAGAATTCAGCTTTTCCGAAGCCTAGGCTAAAGGATTTGCCAGCACACCACACTGTCAGAGCTTACCAAGAGTCCTGAGTGTTAGTTTCCCCTCTACTTCTCTTTCTTTTGTGGCCTCTCTCAAGAGGTCCTGACCAGAAAAATGTCCCCATGGGCATGAATCATACAGAAAGGCCTGGACAGTCCACAAAACAAAATCAAGTCAATTGGGTCGGGAGGGCCTCAGTCACCGCTTCACCTTCCATACTGCCCCCTTGTGGTAAGTGAGGAAATCATGGTAATTTCACAGAGGTAGGAGATGGGGAACCCGGCCCTTCAACTCTGGTAAATTGAATTTCTGGTTGTGTGAAGCCGTTTATGATGACAATCTTTTAAATAATTAATTTATATTCCTTACTTTCTGGTAAGTACAATGTCCTAAATATAATGGAAATGTTCTTTTATTCACTCAACAGGTATTTGTTGATTATCTCCCATAGACACTGTGTTCAAGGGACTTGAGATTGCATTCAGTCATGCTGCCTTCTCTGATAGAGTTTCTAGTCTAAGAGGAAGACAGACATTAAACATAAAAATCTACTCATAATTCAGCAAATATTTATGAATCACTTATTGTTTGTCAGACATTGTTGCTGGGAATGAGGATAGAGGGAGGAACAAGAAAGCCAAAGCCCCTCCCTGCTCTCATTACGCTGACATTCTAGTAGGGAAAGGCTCTGGAAATGCATCTCACGGAACAGTGATGAGATGTAGAAGGTGTGGTGGATAGGGTTGAATTCTGTAAAGACCCAACTGTGCTCTAGATGTTTGCTTTTAACCTAAGTCTGGGATACCATCTTCTTTGTTGATCATCACTTTCTTAGAAAAACAGAGCAAAGAATATACTCACTCAGCCGTATCCAAACCCTGTACATGAGCTTCTGTGGAAAGAGTGCTGGATTCCCAAACAGGAGATCTTTTTTTCTGAAACTAGCTCTTCTAGATACTTATCAAGCACTATATGCCCTGGGATCCCACCATGCCATTTCTCTGGGCCTTGGGTTCCTCAGCTATAAAATGAAGGATTGACAAAAATGGTTTCTAAGATAATTTCCAGCTCTATTAGTCTATGAAATGGTCAAGTCAGAAAAAAATTTGATGATTCAGTTATAACCCCTGCTCTCCTAGAGCACCCACCAGTTGTTGGTAGTGAGAATAATTTCTGTGATTCTTCGGGTCACAACCAGAAATCCTAGGAAAAACTTAGTTTAAGCAATTAGCTTAAGGGCTGCAGTACCAGAGTAACAGGATCTAGCTGGTGAAATCCAAAGTCTGCTCACGGTTAATGTTCTCACAGGGTTATATTTGCTAAGCAAATGATGCTAAATGAAGTACTATTTTTCCTCTCTGATAAAGAAGATCATTTCTGTTTGTCTCTTAGCATAATTACCACATATTCATCAGAAGATTCATGATACTTCATCTCACAGGGTATAATCATGAGTCAGATAATAGTCTGTTTGTAATTACGCTATTTTCATCCTGACATACCTAAAGGGCACAAATACTCACATTTGTTGTATTGAGACCACAGTTTGGAATGTAGACCCAGCAAATGATTGCACACTGTTAGGAGCCTGGTTGTTAATCTAGTGAAGCATCAATTCACACATAAGACATAATTTATCTGATTCGCTTTCCATCGGTCTAGTTGACTTGGGAAATGTACAAGTGTTCCAAGCACAGCAATGTGTATGTAGCATGCTGGGAGAAAACATGAACTTTGGAGACAGCCAGCCCTGGATCTCTGCTCTGTATTCTCTGTGTGCATTTGAACAAGTGGCTTTTCCTTGATGAATCTTAGTTTCCTCATCTGTAGTAAGGGGCAAGAAAATCTACCTCACTGGGTTGTTTTAAGAAGCCTAACTTAAGGAAATCTTCCTTTAAGTTAAAATAGGCTAAGTAACACGTTTGGCATCTGGTAAATAGCAAGAGTTTAGTGAATGTTTCTTTTCTTCTTAAACAAACTTACCATTACAAAAATGGCACAGATGTATCATAGAGGAACCTATGGATGGGTAGCTTTGGGGGCTGCATTTCAACAAGGTTATACCAAGGACTCATGGAGTAGAATTTTGTGAAAAAGGTTATGGAGAGACAGATGCCCAATCTTGAACTGGACAGTCATGGGGATTTAATATTAGCCAAATACTTGTTTAACACTGAGAAGATGAGTAATGCCAAGAGCCAAAAGAGCCTGCCAAGAAGAAAACCACTGGAATCAGAAAAATAGACATTTCCTTATCTAATAATAACCACTAGCTAAATGAACTTAGAAGTTCATTGATATTTTGGGCTCTAGTTTTCCATCTATAAAATAAGAGTTAAGCTGACTCATCTGCGCTTCTATGGTCCTATAGTCCATGATTATAATAGGTGACATGAGGGAGCAATGGGAATTGTGGCATCACAGTTTGGGGGATTTGTATAGTGATTTTTTAAAACAAAATGAAACAGGCCTTTAAATCCCTAAATTTGTAAACTCTGTTAAGTAAACATATGAATTATTCTATGCTGGGAAGAATGACCATGGAAACTTCTGAACCCACTTCCATCTGTATTAAGAACTATGAAGACCCTAGAAACTGTCCTTGAAACAGTAAATCTTATTAATCTAGAACCCCTCCCTCCACTTTGGAATTTGTGGTGATTTGAATATGTTACTTTGCTTTACAAAAAAGGATTTGTTAATGGGTAGTATACATTGTTTTCAAGAGATTTATTTGGTATGTGGCAGGCACTCAATACGTATTTATCGAATAAATGGTTTCTTTTGAGCAGCTGCTTGTTAGTATAGTTCTAGTTACTTAAATTAATTTAGAGCAATAAATAAGGCTGTCTAATGCATACTTTTTCTGAACTCAGAGTTCTCTTACTTAGCCCAAGTTAGGAATTTTGTTGTACCTGGAATCCATTTCATTATAGGGCAATGTCATTAGAATATGCAGCTATTCTCCTCTTGTCTTACTGCAACAGCTGAGTCCCCAGTCAGTTGCTTGAGCATATGTCTGCAAGTTCAGAATACACTTAGGAAGTATAGTTTACTCCTTCTTATGGACTCAAAAAACCCCATTCACAACTTCCATAGTTGTTTTGGGGGGGGGTGGGGGATGTTTTCAACTTCTCCTGATTTAGAAACAACAACCTCAGCCTCAGATGGATGGAAAGTGTTTTTTCTCCTAAGCCAATTCCAGTTAATGACTTGATAGCTGGTTGCTTTTTTAATGATGCTATTATTCTTATATATATATGAAACTAATAACATGTAGGGCACCTGAGTGGGAAAATCATCTTTATTGCTTCTATTATTTGAGAAGGACAGAAATCATGATAATACTCTGTGCTTTGTTCCAGATAACATTCTCATCTTCCTTCCTATCTTTCTTCCTTCCTTCCTTCCTTCCTCCTTCTCTCCCTCCCTCCCTTCTTTTCTTCCTTCCATCTTCCCTTCCTTATTTCTTTGCCTTATTACATAAAGGACTTGAGATATTTAATCATGTTTTTCATCCGTATCAATGAAAAGCCAACACAATTACCTACATCAGGCTAAGAAACAAGACCAAAATTCTGCAAATTGTTGCTATTGGTTTTCATTTGCCAAGTTTCCTTTCCCATGGGGAATTAAAGTACACATATTCATAGCTAACTTTGGTTTAATTACTAGTATGTTCTCTTAACCCAATGCTTAAGAGAAATTTCTTTTAAACGTATTTGATTTCTTTTGCTATTGTTTGTAATAATAAAGTAGTATCTTTGCTTACTTTCTTCCAAAGACTTTTTCACTTCCTGATAAAGAAGAACAAAGGTCACAGATCAATGGTGTGTGCCTGCTCTTTGTAGTAGTGGGCTGTGTATCCTTTTGCACTCAGTTTCTGCAGGTAAGGAATTTTATTTTTTAGTGAGTGATTTAGCTATTTCCTCCCATTTCATGTTAAAATGTCGCTAAAGACTCCTTTATGTTTCAGGGATATGCTTTTGCTAAATCTGGAGAACTCCTTACAAAAAGACTACGTAAATTTGGTTTCAGAGCAATGTTAGGGCAAGACATTGGCTGGTTTGATGACCTCAGAAATAGTCCTGGGGCACTAACAACAAGGCTTGCTACAGATGCCTCCCAAGTTCAAGGGGTAAGCTTTGGGGGAAAACCAGGGGTGTTATCAACTGGAGTAAACTTCCTTTCCTTTGAGCATTCTGATAATCACCTATATGTTTCCCATGAAATAGGAACTCATGGGATTGAGATGTCTCAGAGCCACATTTCCCACCATTTCCAATGCTGACAAACAGCAGTCTCTCCCAGGCAATGTCCAGACTCAGTGCCACAAGTCCAAATCTGTCAGGGTTTTAGATTTCCTGGGAGTCTAGCAACTGAGAGCTTTCCTGAGACTCATTTCTCAGATCATTTTCAGGCCCAGAGGCTCAGATTCTATAAGACTTAATGGCGCCTCCCGGAGGTGGAAGCAAAATCTCCTTACCCAGTGCCCAACGTGCAGGGAGTCGTAGGAAAAGAGATCTTCTGAGTTGCCTCTGTAAACGCTAGTCAGAAAACTGAAGAAAAGAAATAAATGATTGCCGTCTAGAATCCTGAGGCATTCATAGAGACAGAGCTGTGGTTTCTGAAACCCAGAACCTGCAGCCTTGTTCAGGTGACTCATCCATTGTAAGGTGAGGCAATGCTTTTAGAAAACCAGGGGTTTGTATTAAAGTGACGAGAGTCAAATGTGCAGTCCAGCACCTCTCCTCACTTTCTGTGGGAATAAAAAGAAAGAAAGAGAGAGAGGAAGGAAGGAAGGAAGGAAGGAAGGAAGGAAGGAAGGAAGGAAGGAAGAGGAAAAAGGAAAACCACAGTTTGTGAGGTTCTTGGAAGAACCCCCCTCCACCCCCCATGCCCAGATTGAAAAACTGAGTTATGTATGTCTTGACTCCTAGCCAGTTCAACCAGAAATATGGACAATGGTGTGAGAGACTTTCAGAGGAGCATGGGATCCTCTTCCTCAGAGCTTTTTTCTAGGTATAAATGTGTTTCCCACAGACTTTGGGTCACACTGTACATATTGTTTTGTAATCTTTCTGTTTTTCCCCTACAACAATCTGATGTGGGCATATTTTCGTTATTATATATTCTTCTAGAGTAGATTTTTGATGGCTGTATAATTCATCATCTTAATGTGTCATCGTTTAAGAATTCCTTATTTAAATGCCTGTTTTTCTCCCTTATAAGCAACTTATGTCATTTTACATCAAGCTTGGCATATCCTTGATTATTATTTTTTTGTTCTCAAAATATAATCATTGGATCAGAATGTATAATCATTTTGAAGGGTTTTAATGTGCATTGTCTTACTGCTTGAAGGAAGCTTGTAGCAATTTCACTTTTACCATCTGAGTATTCTAGTGTCCAGTTTACCTGACTCTTGAGCTTAGGTCAGATAAATAAGCCATCACCTTATCTCTTCTATTTTTGCATCCTTCAATCTGCAAGGGGGCTTTTTAAGGTTATTCACTCTCACTTGAATTCATAGAGTAGCATCTAACCATCTTACAAAAATTTTACTTATTCTTTAAAAAAATGAAAAGTTTCTAAGAGTTTCTCGATTATTTTTGTTAAACTTTTTTTTTTTAAAAATGAGCTTGCTAACCTGGGTCAAATTTATTTTAATATTGGTGTAAAGTAGAAATCTGGCTTTTTTTTTCCTTCAAACTGAATAGAAAATATTCCCCCACCAAAATTTAATGTAGATTTCATTTTCCAGCTATTTGAAATCCTCCTGCCCTTTGCGACTGTCACCTTCCCATGGATACTTGGAGCTATGGGGATTCTCTATTCTCTTCCACTGATCAGTTTGATTTATTCTGTGCCAGGACCTTACTGTTTTAGTTATATAACTTTATGATAAGTGTTTATTATCTGGTAAGGTAGATCCTTGCACAATAATTTTTCCTCTTCAAAATTCTTTTATTTATTCCTGGACATTACTTATTCTAATGTACTTTAAAATCATCTTGGCTTCTTCAAAAATTTTATTTTAATTCCCATTGAATACATCCATGCAGCAACCCCCCCCACCCCACACACACACACAAAGATTGCTGTTGTGGGGATGCTAACAGTTCCCAGGAGAGACATAAATAAGAATCTTTAGTTTTTAGTAAGATTTATAACTACATGATATGCTATATGCTATGCATAGTATATATACACAGATACATTAAGTATCACTCTATCTTGTTCATTTTTTCTTATGTATTTTTTTCACAATTTTGAATGAATGTCATAGATTGAGATTTTAGCTATTAGTTTTTGTATATTTATCTTACTGCCATCCATTTTTTTTTAGATTTCTTTCTTTATTTATTTGAGAGAGAGAGAGCATGAGAGGGGGTAGGGTCAGAAGGAGAAGCAGGCTCCCCGCCGAGCAGAGAGCCCGATGCGGGACTTGATCCCGGGACTCCAGGATCATGACCTGAGCTGAAGGCAGTCGCTTAACCAAATAAGCCACCCAGGCACCCTGCCATCCACTTTTTAAAGTTTTCTTATTAACTAATTTTTTAAAAATTTAATATAGTCTTTTGAATTTCTAGGTATATAATCAAATTATATGCAAAGAAAGATAATTATATCTCTTTTTTTCTTTTTCAATTCTTATACCAACTATTTTATTTTCTCATTTTATTTCAATACTAGAAGTTTCAAACACTTGAGTAGAGTGCTAAGGGGAAGTAGAGGAGATTCTCGTAAGTAAGACAAAAATACATAAAGTAGACTTGTCAGACTACATAAAAACTTAAAACTTTGTATAAGCAAATGATAGATTATGAAAATATTTGTAACAAGGATTAATATACCTAATAAGTCTAACATGTGTAGTGTTCCTAAAATTGGTTAGAGAATAAAAATAAACCAAATAATAAAGGTTAAAAAAAGGTATATGGACAAGCAACAAAAAAAGAAATGCAATGGGACAATTAACAAATGAAGAATTGTATAACCTTATTAATAGAAAAATACTAATAAAACAATGAAACACCATTTTCCACCTACCAACTCAATAAAAACTATCATGACTGACAACTTCCTGTATTTGTGAGGATGAGGAGAAACTGACAGTCTCATAAGATATTGGTTACAGTTTGAATTCTTCCAACATTTTTTAGAGAATAATCAGGTATGCAAATCCTCTGACTAAAATTCATATAGTAAATTCTCTCCTATTTTGTGACAATGTGCATTCAAATGTATGTTTATATTGATCAAAAAAATTAATAAAATCCCCTGGAAACTACCTGAATATCCACCAATAAGAAAATAGTTGAGTGAATATATCCATACTAAGGAAAAGTAGGCAGCTATTTTTAAAGGTATTAATGTAATGATTTGGAGGGATGGTTACGTTACACCAAGTAAAAAAAAATCGAAGTACAAAATAATATCTAGACTGATCCCTTTTTTGTGAAAATGTTTATTGTTATGCATGTATATATATTTCACGTCTTGAGCTGTATTACTTTTTAAATTTTTAAAAAATATTGATTGAATAAAATGTGAAAGAAAACAAAATGATGAAATTCCAAAGAACTATGCAGCTATTTTCCAGATTCTCTATAATGCCTGACTGTCCTTGCCAACTAGAAATTCTTTTGTTCTTTTTAACTGTGGTAAAATATACAAAACATAAAATTTACCACTGTAACCATTTTTAAGTGTACAATTCAGTGGCATTAAGTATATTCACATTGTTATGCAACCATCACCACTCTCCATATCTAGAACTTTTTATCATCCCAAATAGAAGCTCTGTACCCATTAAATATTAACTTCCCATCCCCCCCAACCCCTGATAACCACAATTCCATGCTGGCTTTATGAATTTGACTATTCCAGGAACCTCATATAAGCAGAATCATATAATATTTGTCCTTTCATGACTGGTGTATTTCACTTGGCTTAGTGTCCTGAAGGTTCAACCATATTGTAACATGCGTCAGAATTTCATTTCTATTTAAAGGCTTGGATAATATACCATTATTTGTATAGACCACATTCTGTTTGTCCATTCTTCTATCAGTGGGCACTTGGGCTGCTTCCACCCGTTGGCTATTGTGGATAATGCTGGTATAAATATAGGTGTACAAATAAATTCTTAATTTAGCTTTTCTTTCCTGTCTTCAAGGAAGTTATAACCAATATATGGGAATTCTTGGGACCAGAGAGTTCATATTCCATTTGCGTCTTCAATACAGTATGAAGATGCAAATTATTCTTGCATAGCACTTCCTTAGTACCTATGGTTACCTAATAGCTTACCTGTGATTGTTTTGCCTTCTTTATTTTTTAAATAATGCTGAAGTTTCTACAATACTGACAAAAATCTTGCAATTGTACCCAGGCAAGTCTTTCCTACACAGAAGACACCAACCTTTGGTCACATCTGCACAGTTGCAACTGAAAGAAGAGTTGGAACCATCAAATAATTTTGCTTATAAATAGTAATTACCACCAGTGTCCATTCTCCACCTATATTGAGAATGAATCTGTTTTCTCCATTTTGTGTTGACTGAACAGCTAGTTATTAAGTCAGCATGTGATTTTGTACCAATGAGCAGGTTAACTTTAATGAGAATCAAAGTGGGCTCTTATAATAGTCTTGTACAAATTTCAAAACTATAATTAAAGAACAAGCATCAGTCTTCACCGAATAATCAGAAATATTACCATAAGACCAAGGCCTGGGTATTTTCAAGCAGACCAAATCCCTAGTCACCTGACATACATGCATGCTGTATTATACAAAACATAAAATTTACCATTGTAACCATTTTACAGGGCTGAATTAGTCTCATACTGACCGCTCTAACTTTGACTCCCATGAAATGAATTAGTCAATAGATGAGCTTCCACAAAGCTGTGAATAAAATGGACTTTTCTTAATCCAGTCTTCAAGTGCATTAGGGAGCTCATTATTTTAAAAAATCTTTTTAAACATATAACTACCGAATGACCCAGTAATTCCACTCCTAGGCATATATCCAAAAGAAGGAAAGCAGGGACACAAACAGATATTTGTACATCAATGCTCATAGCAGCATTATTCATATGGTCAAAAGGTGAAACAATGCAAGCGTCCATCAACAGATGAATGGATAAATGCAATGTGGTACATACATATAAAGAAATATTATTCAGCTTTTCAAGGAATGGAATTCTGATATGTGCTACAACATGGATGGACCTTGAAAATGTTATGCTTAGTAAAATAAGCTAGACACAGAAGGCTATTGTACGATTCCACTTAGATACTCAGAAGAGGCAAATTTATAGAGACAGAAAGTAGAATAGAGGTTGTCAGGGGCTAGGGAGAGGGAGGAAGAGGGGTTATTATTTAATGGGTACAGAGTTCTTGTTGTAGATGATATAAAGATTTTAGGCATAGATGATGGTGATGGTTACACAACACAATATATTTAATGCCACAGAATTTTATACTTATGAACGGCTAAAATGAGAAACATCATGTTATGCACATTTTATCAGAATAATTTCTTTTTTTTTTGTATAAAATTGCCTTTTCACATAGTGATATTTGGTAAAAGAGACTGTGTGTCTCAGATCGGTTGATTGCTTTTGGTTTGCAGGCAGCTGGCTCTCAAATCGGAATGATGGTCAGTTCCTTCACTAACATCACTGTGGCCATGATCATTGCCTTCTTCTTTAGCTGGAAGCTAAGCCTGGTCATAATGTGCTTCTTTCCCTTCTTGGCTTTATCGGGAGCCATACAGACCAGAATGTTGACAGGATTTGCCTCTCAAGACAAGGAGGCTCTGGAGATCGCCGGCCAGGTAATCTTACAGACCCAATTTTCAAACTGCTTACAGCTCAGTGGCTGTCAGACAAACCCTTAAGGATGAGTAGTACAGATAGACTTATGGAAGCTGTTAGCCTACAAACGTTCATCCTTGGAAGCCTCCCACTAGCCTTTTTTAAGCTGTGGCAATAAAGCTCTGATGCGGTGAGTGTGAGCAGGTGTAGAGAAACAGCGGGGCAAACAGAGTGGGTTACATATTCAATTTCCTCTCCAATGGTTATTTTCTCCACCTCCCGATTCGGTGTATTCTCATTCACAAGAGTGGAGACTTCAGTTTTCTGTTTGCTTGGTTTCTTAGCTAAATGGTTTCCGCAGGTCATGCTGCCCACAGAGAGAGGTGCTATCTTCTTTTGAATGGCACACACTTTTAATTTTCACACTTTAGTGTCTGCTAGACTTATAACAAATGTCTTTCCCAAATGGAACTATGACATTCAGTTTAGGTCTCGATTACTCTTAGTTTTCAGTGATGCACTTTTAAAAGTGTGTCCTAATGAATATCTGGTTATCGGGTAAATGAGGAGATGGTGGCATAAACATTTATCAGATATAAGAAATCATGCACACACATATACACACCTTTACTCTTTTAACAAATTTACTGTTATCTAGGTTTTGTCTCTTAAGGGAGGAAATGTGAACATCACCCAAGTAGACAGAAGCCAAGAAGATTTCATATACCAATGGGACAGAGTGGCCCACCTCTGTGCTATTTTAGGATAGGAAATGCCAATTCAGAAACAGTGATGATTTACCCTAGTGTACGGACTGAAACAAATACAAATTCATAGTATAGACTAAAGATCAACTTTATACTTATATTTGGTTAGATTAATTTTTTTAAAGATTTTATTTATTTATTTGACAGAGAGAGACACAGAGAGAGAGGGAACACAAGCAGGGGGAGTGGGAGAGGGAGAAGCAGGCTTCCCGCTGAGCAGGGAGCCCAATGTGGGGCTCGATCCCAGGACCCTGGGACCATGACCTGAGCTGAAGGCAGACGCTTAACGATTGAGCGACCCAGGTGCCCCCGTCAGATTAATTTTTTAAGAAAATAGAATTGTATTTTGAACTTACATTGTTCAGTATCTTTTGTGCCGGAAGACATCTAAAGATATCGTTTTAGACATTTCAAATAAATTCACAAAAGAGCTAAAAGCTTTCAAGGATCAGTGTGGGTACATTTTTCCCCTTTTCTCTTCTACAACAAGTGGAGGCAAAAAAGCCATGTTAGTATTAAGTAGAACCTGAGGTTAGCCAACTCATGATCCAGGTAAGCTGACCTCAGACAACTTCTTTGTGTTCCCAGATGATGCTTCCACCGCAGATTCATACCACCTTCTGCCATTTGCACCAGATCGAGTCCATGTGGCAGCTGAAATGTCATGAGAGTAGTTATTTCTGCTCTTTTGTTCCTAAGACTCTTTTTCACTTTTCAGATTATGAATGAAGCTCTCAGTAATATCCGCACTGTTGCTGGGATTGGAAAGGAGAGGCAGTTTATTGAAGCATTTGAGGTTGAGCTGGAGAAGCCATTCAAGACCGCCTTTCGAAAAGCGAATATTTATGGATTATGCTTTGGTTTTTCCCAGTGCATAGTGTTTGTTGCTAATTCTGCTTCCTACAGATACGGAGGTTACTTAATCCCCAACGAAGGGCTCCATTTCACCTATGTGTTCAGGTGAGGACTATCAGGCCAAGGTCATAAAAGACCAGCACTCTAGGGAGGAATAGCCTGGCTCTGTAAGGTAGGCTTTGCTGCTTGACAAACCATACCAACCTTGGTGTCTTAAACAGTTGGATTTATGATTTGTCAAGATTCTGTGGGTTGTCAGGGTGGTTCTTCTGGACTGGACTGATTCAGTCAGGCTTCTGCATGCCTTTCTTCATATCACGGTCTCAGTATTCCAAGCACAACAAAAGAGAGCAAGCCCCGTTGTGCAGTGGGAAAGCACTTTTCGAGTCCCTGTGGGCATCACATTTTCAAAGATCTCTTTGGCCGAGGAAAGTCATACAACCAAGCCCAGATTTAAAGAAAAGAGAATGGAATCTACCTTTTAATGAGAGGACCTGAGTGTGTTTCTCCTTTACGGTCACACTGCTGTCACACACACACTTCTGAACCCTGATGGATCCCAACTTAATTCCGACACCATCTACCAGGAGATAGCGTCGGATCCCACAGGTTAAGGGCTCCGTCCTGCCAAGACTGCCCATATCACCTTCCTTAGACCCTTCAGACACCCTACCTTTCCAGAGGTCGGGGGCAGGGATAGGACTGAAATTTCCACCTCTCTAGTTGTGTGGTTACTTCCCTTGGCAACTAGTGGCCTTCCAGAGTCACCTCATTAACATAACCAAAGACACCTTGATCGCTCTCCAAATTTAGGAACTTCCAAGGATTTAAGAGCTCTGTGCCAGGAATGGGAGCCAAAGACCACATAGATGTTTCTTACTATAAATCACAGTATCACAGAGGAGTAAAAAAGTCATATTGCCAAGGGATTTGTTCAGAGTAATAGGATAAATGAACCATTTACACAGTCTGTCATACTGGTTAATGCTAAGAAAATCTAGAGGCCTTGAATCAGAGAGTTCTTTGAACCATCTTATCTGAACTCTACTTCTTGCAAGAAGGGCATGTTTCCCCCTTAATCCTCCCAGGTAGAGACAGCAAAGGCCAGGACAGGGGAATTATGTTCCTTTCTTATAGTCTGCATCTGCTCTTCTGATAAGATTAGTTTCTCATATTTCTAGAGGTGAGAGCCAAAGGGTGTCAGGGTACCAAGGGACTGGGGGTGGGTGTATATGGCTATAATGTGGTGGGGTGGGGGATGTTAGAGGGATGAGAGAGAGGTTGTCTGGGAAGGCCTTGGGAGGACATTAGGAAAAGTGGTCCCAACAGAAATTTGTTCTTTTGGGGTCATTCTCAAGCTATGAGTCTTCTTGCCTTCTAGATTTCTTCTAGAAATATAGAAGAAATTTTTCTCCTGCCCTGCTCGACCCACCCCAATCAGGAAAGCCTCTTTTCTAAATTTTGGCATATTGAGAGCTGTGAATCCCCAAATCAGAAATCACAAACTGTTGACTTGTTAGTTTCTGTGAGATATTTGAAGACTTATTTGCCAACATGTAAAAATTGGGAAACTATAGAAAATTCCCAACTTCTGGCTTCTCTTAAAAAACTGGTGAAAGGTAGAAGGTGAAAGAACACCTTCCACCATTTCTCATTTTATTCCAGGTGCTTTTCATTGCTTTAAGTTTTGGGCTGGGCTCCTAGAGATGTTTGGGTTTGCAAATCTGGCCTAAAAGAATTCCTTGCTTATGAACTGAGCAGTAAAACACACAAACACACTGCCCTCCACCACCACTGAGGCAGGCCCTCTGTGCATGGTGATGCAGGTGGTCAACCAGAGGATGCCCCTCGAATCTTCATCTCTACAGCACGGGAGCTGTGTGTCACCATATTAATCACTCATGTATTCACTCACCCATTTGCTCATTAATTATGCACCCAGTGAATATAGTTAAAAGTTTTAGAAGCAAACAGACAATTGTATCTTTCCCATGGTGTCTGAAGTGTGAATGACACGCATGCTTGGTACAGAAGGATGCTTATATCACTAATCATTGTCTTTTTCAAAACTCACCATAGATTCAAAGAATGTTAGCTTTGTAAAAACTCAACCCAATCTGGTGATCTTTCAAACCCCTTCCCTCCTTTTTTTTTTTTTTTTTAAGAAGTCTTTTTTTTTTCCCAAACAAGTTTTTGAAAAAGAGGCTATAGTAGCTAAAGCAGGGTTTGGAGGTGTGAACACCCCTTGTGTGATTCTCCCCTCACCATTTTTACATAGAACTCATTGCAAACTGCTAGTCTCTCCAAGCCCCCATTCCCAGACAAGTCTAAGGCAACCTGCTCAAGGCTGCTCCGTTCTTTCCTAGCAGAACCAGGGCCGGACCCCCCCATACCTTCCTCTTAGGCTGTCATACCAACCACCCCACACTCCTTCTTTACCCGGGTGTCTGGTCTATTGCAGGGTGATCTCTTCAGTTGTACTGAGTGCAACAGCTCTTGGAAGAGCCTCCTCTTACACCCCTAGTTATGCCAAAGCCAAGATATCAGCTGCACGCTTTTTTCAACTGCTGGACCGACACCCCCCAGTCAAGGTGTACAGTAGTGCAGGTGAAAAGTGGGTAAGTACTGAGGGGGATAAGGAGGGAGTTGGGGGGGCACTGTGCTTATGGGTGTGTGTGTGTGCAGAACAGCCTTTGGAGCTGGTCAGAAGGTACCACTTAGTTTTTCAGTTCCTGCAGTTTATGGGTTCATTCATATGCACTCAGAATGCACAGACAGTAGATTTATAAATGTAAAGGAATGAAGTAAATTAGCATTAAAATTATTCATAAAGCTGGCATTTGAATAAGGCAATGATATCCAGTAAATGCTAAACTCTGTGTAATATAAAACACACTTAGTTCCAGAATGAATGAAGCTGGATATCTTTTGAGACCTACCCAACCACCATGTTTTCTACCAATGTTCTGGTATGGGATGTAGAAACACCAGTTCTTCCTGTCCAATAATATTGATTCAATTCATGTTTATCTAGGCTCAAGTTTTAGCTCGTGTGGACCCCCAGAACACTAATTTGATCTCAACAAAATATCTTTTCTTCTGATAGTCCTCACAGATGTTTTTTAATCTTCCCTGCCTATTTTTTTAATATTCCAGTGTTTTCAAGAGAACAAAACAAAACTAAAGCCTAGTAAAGCTGAACAAAATTCAGAAATCTTTGTAAATTGGTCAAGTGACCTGTTCCTCCTGTTGTTATTAAATTCTATCCCTTTCTGGAATTCATAATTCAGATAGTCCAACTGAAGATATCTACCTTTGCAATACAGGGTGCAAGTAACTTTCTGAGTCATTTGAAGCATAATGCTAGTATTAGAAATCTTCAGGGGGAGCAGAACTCTAGGGGTTTGGACAGTTCCTGGCTTCTGTGATGGAATCATATCTTCTATTTGTTCTTTTCCACTCAGAATGTCCAAGAAAGGATGACGAGGAAATCCCTTTAGGTTAGGATGGGAATGAGAGGTCACATATCTTTCATTTCACTGCTCAAACCTCCCTTTATTCTCTACCTGCCAGAATAGGGAACAGAATGGCATTTCATCAAGTGGCTGTCTTTAGACTTTGCACTATGGCTGCGTGCTGTTGAAGGTATCTTAAGCAAGGACTTAAAACTCAGATTAGGTGCATTTTCAGTATTCTGGATTCTAGTAGGAACCTATGTAAGTCCCATCTTCCCATCCACAGGACAACTTCCAGGGCCAGATTGACTTTGTTGACTGTAAATTTACATACCCTTCTCGACCTGATATACAAGTTCTGAACGGTCTCTCAGTATCGGTTCGTCCAGGTCAAACGCTGGCCTTTGTTGGAAGCAGTGGATGTGGCAAAAGCACGAGTATTCAGCTGCTGGAGCGTTTCTATGATCCTGACCAAGGGAAGGTGGTAAGCAATGCAAATGCCTTAGAGAATTGTGCTTTCTGCAGAATATCTCCAACCCCTTCAAAGTGGTTTCAAGATCCCGCCTTGCCGGATTCACTCTAAAGTGCTTGCCTCGGACACTTACCCCTGTGGATATTTTCCAGTTCCAGTCATTTGCTGGTTGACCTGATTCTACCTCACACTTTCTAACATCATATTCTTCCCAGTTCCAGATGGCCTGCTGGCTAGTTAGACAAAGCAAACTGGGAGCACGGCAAAGCTGGAGATGAGTGTGTTTAACAGAAGTGTTCACTTACCTGTAAATGGAGCAGAAAGTGCAAACTAATCAGGAAACTAGTGAGCGCGAAGGGAAAAACTGACGGGGTGTTAAGTAACGCAATGATAAATAAGTTGGGGGGGGTTGAGTACGAAAAACCTGACACAATCCTGGTTCGAGAAGCTTATGTCTATATGACATAAAGAACTCAAATTGGTAGTTTTGTGCCAACAAAGCTTTGGCAAGGAGATTTGAAAAATTGGTGAACTGCTTTGTTTCTCCTTTTCCAGAGCATTTCTTCCTCTTTTCTGCCCTTTTTCTTGTCTTTCTTTCCAAATAATATATGCAGAGGAATACAAAATAAAATAGGAAAGATTTGTAATAAAAAGCAACCTCTTATTCTACCCTTTCCACCACTTCCCATTTCTCTGTAAAGACAGCTATTTTTAACTACACGATGTTTTTAGATCTTTCAATGATTACCTCAACGTCTCTACAGAATATGATTACGCAGCTGTTTCACGATTTAACAGATTCAGACTCTCTGTTGACTTACTCTCAAGAGATGGAAATTTAGCTTACCCTTCCCACTCCCCCTCTTTTTACGCACCTCCTCCCAATATAGATATATCACTTTAAACAGTTTCTCTGCTTATAAATTTAATTAATATAATTCTGCTTCTTTTCCACCACCTACAGATAGTATCTCTTGAATTCTCATTTTTTTTTGATATGAGGATAGTAGCAATCCTATGTTTATTTTCACCCCTTCCTCCCTCCTTTTATTTCTCCAGTCCTAATAACTGTACTTTTATATTATCAAAATGCAGAACACTAACATTCTGTTTAAAGCATTTATTATCTTTCACGCTTTCACTCTAGGCTGACTCTAAAAGTTAAAAATCAACTGACGACTTTTGTTGTGATTATGTAAATATTGTTCATCCCATAGTCAAGTGGTGAGATACATCAGCATTACATTTTCTTTCTTGATCGTTTTCTGAAAGGCTTTCTTTTTTCTTGCACCCTCTGCCTTTATAAAATGTTTGTATTCTTCCCATGTCTCTATCCTGCTACCTTTTCTGAAGGACCAGCTTTTTTGTCTCATGCCTGTCACTGCCTGGACTAATTACAACCTGTGGCTGCCGAACACTTGTCACCTTGTGAGTTTCCTGCCTGTTTTCTTGGGATTAGATCCATCATTTCCTAAGTCCCGTATCTTCCTCTTTCTTGGGTTTCACTTTCATTTTGTTGGAGTGCATCCACTAGTAGTTTTCTAAGAAATGATTCAGAGGCATAGGTCTGAAAATGTTTTATTCTGCTCCCCAGTTGATAGAGTGCTGAACTCTGATATTTTGGGAGAAAAAAGGCCTTTTTGAGTTCCCTGGGTAGTATGATCTTCATTGCAATGAGGACAGGTCACATTATGAGGAGAAATGCTGAGAGAAACTCGAAGGAGGCAACTAAAGAGTCCCCTGCATAAAGCAAAACAAAGAAACAAGTGAACAGATAGTGGTAGAATCCAGGAAATTATGCAAATAAGGAGTAAGAGTTGATTATATATAATTTATAATCACTTTTTAATTAATTTTAGGTATAAAGATTTTAATGTGTTTAAAAGTACATAGTGATTGAGGAACCTAGAAAGCACATTGCACTGGGGTCTGATCTCTGCAAAGGAGAGGGTCCAGTTTCCCAAAATGTCAGATCATCCCCTCTATCACCCCAGGTAGACTGTGAGCTATGAGACATACAGGGATCCAAATCCTTCACGTTTGACCTTTCCAACATTAACATATACATTAAGTATATTTCTCTCAATGTGCTCAGTGCCTGTTCTGGTCATAGGTAGGAAGCAATGCCCATGAAGAAATCAGCATGATTCCTTACATCTCATAAATACAATATATTTTATTGTATCACTGTAAAACATTTCTGCGAACTTTTTTCAAGGGGAAAGATACCACCTTTTATGCAAATTTTTAAAAATTGTCTTTGCTTTTAAGGAAGCTACCAAATGCAACTTTCAATGTTTTCAACATTTAATTCCTGTGATATGCAGTACTGTGTTAGGCCCCGTGGGAGAGTCTAAGGAACGTGAAGCATGTCTTCTGTCTTTTAGGAGCTTACGATACTATCTCATGTACAATAATTAGCAAACAGCTCCAGTACTTAATTAGGTATCAGATTGTGCTTTGCAATATATAAGTACTATGGAAAATAAGCAGAGGAAGATGAGCCAGGGCTAATTGCTGAGGAATGCCTTACATTTTTTCCCACTGGTGTTTGCTTTTTCCATTGTTGAGTATTTATCTAAAATATCATATGTTCACAGCATTTAACATAATCTTTTTCTGAAATCAGAAGGCCAAACACTTTATAGTGGTATGTTAGACATACCGTACCTTTACTATCTTAAGGATTTTAAGTGAAACAGCTCAAATGGTAGATATTTGAGTTCCTGTACTCAAGGGTCTAGCCCACGAACAACAAGAACACAGAGATTATTTTTTCATTATATAGCAGCCAAAAGACTGCCTAGTTTGGTGCCCTTGTGGCAGGAAATTCAATATATGTTTGTTGACTGACTAAGTGAATAAATATGCTCGTTTCTTACTTGGGTCTATTATGTTAGTGTCAGTAAAATCAAGGAAACAGCTTTAATTCTTATACTGTCCAATGGTTTTACATAGAAGAGCCTGTTTTTTTTTTTTTT